ATTATTAAATTTAATGCCGGAAAATAAATTTAAAACCCGATTACGTACATGATTTTGGTGGCGATACTAGGTGAGTCGGAATAGGTCAATAACGGAGTTTAATATTTGACAAGCCCTATTCCGTTATAAGATATAGCGAATAAGCTATATAACAAAATTTTTAGGCCAGTCCAGATTAGATTTGATAGTTTAGTGCATAATGGAAAATTTTATATGTGACATATCGTGTGACTGTTATCTTAGTCACCTGATCTTAGATTACGCACGTATACACTATATACTAGATACTGTATCCATCAAAATTTATTGAATTTATTATGTCGAAATCACAAACTTAACCGAATCGGCCGAAAACCATTCGGCTAATTTTTTTGTTATTTATAATAACCATAAAAAAGACCCTTCCTTAATCCAGGTTTTGTAAACATATTCTTCCATATCGGCAACAATATTTACTAATAATTAATATAGTTCAATATTTCAGTAAAGACTAAGAGCAAAGTAATGTAAAATGCTCCAAAGTGCAGTTCACAACTATAATTCTGATACGCACGTACGTATATTACGTAAATACTACGTACGTAACGTACGTTAATTATACATAAACCGTTACACTAAACAAATAATGTAATAAATTAAAATGTTACGCATGATAAGTACAGTTTGATGTTTAAGTTCTTATTTTGTTAATTCATTTATAAAAAGAACAATTTAGAATCTTGAAACTAGTAATCTTTTGAAACTAATTGTGTATATTTACTATTATGGACAGAAATAACGGTTTAAAAGCCAAAATATTTATTTTTGTTTCAATTTCGGGAGGAATAAACCGGCAAACTCCGGTTGACTCAAATTCTATACGTATTATTGACGTTTATGACTAAATGAAAAGAATAAATAATATCAAAATATTTACTAATGCCCGCCCTATTGTACATTTATGAATTCCTTCTTTATACCGTATCTAATATTAGATGAATTACATAATTAATAATGCCAAAAGGGAATTGATAATTTCCCTTCAAGGAATAGATTTAAGCGTGAGTTTAGAATTTTACTTTTTTAAGTAATGCGGGAAAAATTACATCCAATTAGAATATATGCGGGAAAAATTTTATCTTGTTATCGAAATGGCAGAATTAAAAAGTTCCGAGCATCACATGTCCCAAGTACAAAACAGCAACACTATTTCTGCTTCTAGATTAAAGTTATCATATAGGGGGAGAATTGTGAATCATGCAGTGAATAGTAGTAGAGATCGCTTTTATCATGGGATGAAATAAAGATTGATCTTGTGCTTAAGAGACTTGTTATAAATCTAATCGTGTAACAATAGTAATGATATTCTAAAATGTACGACCTTATGGTCGGTCACTATTTATTTATAATAACGAGTTACAATCAGTTGACATTTAATTTATTATCCTCGGGTGGTGAAACTTTATTCATTATAAGGAGCAGCATATATTTATTATAAAAATAATTTAGCTTTTTTTTTTTTTTAGCCGATATTCTTAGCTATCGACATGCATTACAGCATATTAGTAAACATTGAGGTATGCATAAATAGCTCGTAAAACCTGTGAAAAGATATAAATATTCGAACCAATAATACCTAAAACGAGTTGCCTTCTTTCCTTTTCTTGTTTCATAAAACGAAATTTGCATTGAATTACCGCATTCATGTACATACATCATTTTCAATTATTTGAATAAGTTATCAAACTATATGTAAATAGTGTATTAAACACCGCAGTGTTGGTAAATATATGTTATATTGTATATATATTATATATAAATTTACGTACTTACCTACGTACTATGTACCAGTATCTTTTTTAACGATTAACCTTTACATTTATTTTTTCACCAAAAAAAAAAAAAAAAAGATCAAAACAATCGAATAATAGTTTACAAAAAATAAAAAAAATGTCCTTCAAGTTATTATCGGTTTTCTCTCAAGAAATTATAAATTTATTAAGCGACAGTGATGAATATAATGTGATAATTCATGTTGGAAAAGATGAAAATGTGAAAACGTTTCAGGCTCATTCGTTGATCTTAAGGGCTAGATGTAGTTACTATAAAACTGCTCTATCAGAACAATGGGCCAGGAAAGAAGGTGATTCCAAAGTTTTAAAACAACCTAATGTTACTCCAAAGGTTTTCGAAATCATTCTCAAGTAAGTTTTAATATGTTTAACGCTGTATAGATAAACAAAATTATTAACATATATAAAATATATATAAATATAGTTATATATATAGTGGAACGATTACCTTGAATGATAGAGATATAATGGAAGTGCTAGAAATATTAGCAGCTGCCGATGAATTATTACTCACAGATCTATTGGATTTCATTCAAGACCATTTAATAGAAACAAAATCGGATTGGTTACATTCTTATATCTTGAAAGTCTATCAGGCAACATTATCGCATGATTCTTGTGCCATTCTACGAGAATTTATATTAGCTACAATTTCTTCTGATCCTGAATTATTATTTAAATCACCCGACTTCTTAAAGATTGATGAATCTTTATTATTGCCAATACTTAAACGTGATGATTTGGATATGGCTGAAGATGAAGTTTGGGATCAAGTCACCAAATGGGGAATGGCTCAAATTAATCCCAATTTACAATTTAGAAACATTCGTGATTGGTCTTCTGAAGAATTCACCGCTTTAGCGTCTGCTCTTTCCGAATGTTTACCATTGATTAGATTTTTCCAAATGTCTGGTAACGATCTTTACGATAAAGTTTGGCCGTTTAGAGCCATTCTACCTGAAGAATTAGAAGATGATATAGTAAGATGTCATTTGAAAGTTGGTAGTAAACCTATGTTCGGTACAAATTCTCCAAGAGGAAATTCTGTTTTAATAGCTCATCAACAATTGTCAAAAATTGCTGATTGGATTGATAAAAATGATATCAACATTACTACTACTACACTGAGTGCTGATATTCCTTATAAATTTAAATTATTAATTCGTGGAAGTCGTGATGGTTTCGATTCTCAAACATTTCATCAAAGATGTGATAATCAAGGACCTACTTTTGTTGTAATGAAGGTTGCTGCTTCTTCTGAAATTATTGGTGGGTATAATCCTATTAGATGGCAAACCGGTTCTGGACATTTAGAAACTAGGGATAGTTTTCTATTTTCATTTGGAAATAGAAATCGAATTGAAGATTCAAAGATTAGTAGAGTTAGTAGATATAATTATGCTATCACCATGAAGGACGAAAGTTATGGTCCTTGTTTTGGAGATAAAGATCTTTGGATGCAGGGTGATTTTAGCCAGCCTGATAGTTGTAGTTCAAAAGAAGACGATTACGAGACTTGGATCACCAAGCATCGAAAATTTTCCATTTCTGAATATGAAGTCTTTAAGATCATTAAGAAATAATCATTTCTTTTTTTTTTTTTTTTTTTAACATTTTCACATGTTATTGTACAGTTTTTTTTTTTTTTTTATATTTTTCCTTTTACTTTACGTATCTTTATTTTTTATTTCTCATATTTTTTTTTTCTAAAATAAATAACATTACTTACCACGATGTTGCTGTGTACAGTATATCATATTACTTTTTATTCTACAATGTGTATAAATAGTGATTTATTGTCGGAAAATTATCTTTTCAATGAATAAATGATATGTGACCAATATTTTGTGATTGATAAATAAATCATGTATCTTATTAAATAAAATAAATATTTATTGCTATGATTTCTTTTAATATAGCATATTAATTAAATAAACTTATACTATACCGTGGAAATTTATAAAAAAGCCTGTATCTGTACATCCATCCGTCTAACAGAGTCGTTTAACGATTAAAATTGTCGTATAAACTTGATCCCACTTCATTGATCATATATTTACTATAATAATAATAACGAAAAAGTCATTCTTATGTCTTTGTTTCTCTCAAAAAATATGATCATATTTTTCTTATTAACACTTCTACTTTTAGATACACTATCTTTTAAAACTGCGCTTGTTCATGCCCACCAACTTGAAAAGAATTTACAAAAACGAGATTTAAATTTAAATGCTAACCTTAACGCTATTAGATATGTTTATATTCCAGAAAGAGTTAAACGAAATTATGAGAAAAGACAATTTCCAATTTCTGTATGTGCTCATGGTGATGCTAATTTTGAAGTCAGTGACTCTACGTCAAATCATATCTGATATACTATCACGTCAGTCAAATTTTCAAGAACTTTATCGTTATATGATGATGTTGATGTGATTAGTATTTTATAAATATTAACAATAATTATTATATTTTTAATTTATATTAATATTTAGTTTTGTGTGAAAATTAATTGAACGCGATATTAATCATCGCCGATATCTTATACTGTAAATCATGTTAACTTCATTTCGATTAATTATTATTACATTTCCTCGTTGTAAATTCACAATACTTCATTTATATGTAAATAGTTATTTTCTTCTTACTTCATATATGTAAATAAAAGATCGCTTCCCGTAAAAGAGAGAAAGGGAGCGAATATTATCATGCGCACTTAATAAATACAATAAAATTGCTCTCCCATTATAAAATTACTTTCGTTTATAAATATTTAATCCTTCTATGTTTGTAGTCCAAAGCTAAATTCGGCAACAGTATTTAGAACTCTTTTCAGACTACAACTTCAGGCTATGCTGAGTTGGAATTTTAAAATAATATTGAAACGCAAACGAGTTATAGACGAGAACAAACGTAAACCTAAACGATAAAATAATCTGTGACTATGTTCATGGAGTGACAAAACTAATGATAATGTTAATACCGTAAGGAAAAACAATCATAGAACTCATGAGTTTCAAGATTATATGCATCAAAGAATAGACCTCAAGACATGTATGGGTGAACCAGAATTTGGCTGGAAGGAAGAGATTCGTTTGCGTTTCATGTGGTTTGAATATCGATCAGGATTTCAAATATTTGAAAGAGTCGGATCTTGCGAGGGACTTGAACCTGGTCGTAGAGTGAATCACATAATTGGTCGTATTGTATACTAATGTTGAGTTTAATTTCAAGGGTTGTTGGTGTTGTGTTGATATTGGTTAGATATTCTTTTGGTGGTAGATATTATATAAAGAATCGCGCTATATACTACTGTATTTATAAGAGCAAAGTTTTTAACCCATTTAGTACTATATATATATATCAATATACTTGTAATTACTTGTAATTACTCGTAATACATTGAATCCTTGTTTTTTTTAAATATATATTCGAACGTGCGCGTACATATTACATTTTTTTATAAATGAGGGAATGGAACCACTGAGGTCAATATTTGGATACTTAGTGGCAATAAAATAAAATTGACTACGTAACACTTTTTTTTCAAGTAAATTTTTTAAAGTTATCGCTATGATGGGTGGTACAGTCATGATTAAAGTTTCCAAAGATAAAGTTTTAAAAATTAAGAGTTCTCGTTAGAGTTTTAAAAAAGTTCTTATGGCTTTACATGAACCATTTTTACCAGCGTATAGGAAACAATTTAGTAAAAAAAGTTGATTCTGATCGACATATATGAAACCCTCTATAAAGATGAGAAAATACTTGCCACTAATTAAAAAATTCTTAAAGCTAATTTTCGGTTTAGGGTGCTCTCAAGCATCTCTCTCTATGTGATTGGCTAATGATCGAGATCGTGCACAAGTACTAGATTAATTTAAGTAATCCTTACGATAATTTTGCTAAAGATCATGTTGCGAAATACAGATATTAAATTTTAGCCAATCAGCACAACTCTATGATAAAAAAAGATGGCCAGACTTTTTTTTTCATCGCGATAATGAACTCACTTGATCGGCTGAACGGATGAACCTTATTGATGATTTTGATCTTCAAACTTTAACGCTTAAGTTAAAAATTTGGGCTTAATCCTAGGGTTTGTGATATACGTTCAAATCCAAAATCACTGATAATGGATCAACCATTCTCAAATTAGGTACGTACGTAGGTTTAATGTTTTTTGGTAAATACATAGAACAAGTTATTAGTCCGATGAAGAATTTTAGGGATCTTCGTGTATATGAAGATACAACGATCTATCGTCCATTACAAGCCTAATTATAAATCGAATTCATTATTCATTTCAAACATTCTATTAATTGATCATATTTACCAATAATAAAATTATTATTGAATTACTGTAATAAATTTTTATAAATCAAATATTTTGCATTTAAATTTTATTATATTGGCATTACTAATAGAATTGATCTTTAGCAATTAACTGAGTTTCTTTAACAAAATTATCAATTCCATGATAGATAGCCGTTGGTCAAACCTTTTGTTAGACAGTAGATATTACATTTACACCAAATTTTCGTTGTTACATTGATTTCCAATGTAAATATGGGTATTTTTATTTTTTACGACATTCTATTGTTCGTGAGCGGGAATTTTTGTTAACTCATCATTATAACAAGAAAGTTTAGTGGATTATACCTGATAATTTTTTGATTATATGCTAAAACCTTAATACGACGATACTGATGACGTTGATATCTATTACAAGTGAAAAAAATTAATAGAAGCCGCATTGCTCAATCATTTCTTAACTTTTTACTTATAAAAAATCTCAAGAGCATATAAAAATAAAGATATACATACACTTTTATCTTTGCGTCATCTCTTTCATCGAAGATCCAATATTATAACTAATTTTTTTTAGTTCTACAAGGCTTTCACCAGAGATCCATTATTATTATTAAGCCAAATACTTGCGCACGCAAAGAAATGAATTACAATAATGAACCTTTGGTGAAAAGCAAACCCCATCATCAAACCAAAGAAGACTTCGTGCATGAAAAACCAATAATGATACAGTAGTTCCAGGGTTGGGCAATCTATATATCCAATGCTTTTTTACTGGACACTGGACATTTCCGAATTGTCCAGTGTATGTCCAGTGTCCAGTGATATAGTTGTAATAATGTTATAAAATATTGTTAATAAATTACTGTAACCCCTGATGATTATCTATCACAAAAGTAATCCGAAAATTCTAATGCTGTTATAAATCAATCTAATTTTTTTTTTTAAGTTACAATGATTTGAAGGTTGTCGCTCATTTACCGAAAGCTATTTCCTCGACAGGACACTTACCCGACATCACAGAGTTAGAGTTAAGGTTAGTATTTGATTAGTTGCAGCTATATATTTTTAGCAGATTGTCACCCTGTGTGATGTCGGATAAATGGCCTATTGGGAAATAACCTTCGGGGAATCATACCGTAACTTAATTTGAAAGCAGGTAATTTTCAGTAAATAGCACCCTGGTCTCTTAAATTCTAAATCTTAAAAATTGATTAGCACCCTCTCGAACTGGTAATTTACTATTTAATTTGACTAAATTAATGTTGAGCGGGCACTTTAACAAGGGGGTACTATTGGCCGAAAATTAAGGTATTGTCCAGTGTCTATTTTTCTTAATCCATTGCTTTTTACTGGACAGTTCGGACACTGGACACCGGACAGATTTCCGATTGTCCAATTGTCCAGTTGCCCAACCTTGAGCAGTTCTAATTATATTAGTTTCGACATCGTTTATATCCAGCATAGCTCTTTCAGTTTTTTATTTTTATTTTCAGAACTGAACTATCATTGTTAACATCATCTTCAGCTCTCATTTTTCCTTTATCATTAGAAGGTGAACTATCATCTTTTTTTTCCTTTATTAACAGAAGTAGTAGCCAAACTATTATCACTAATATTGCTATTAACATTGTTATTGTTTACAGGCTTTGCAGTTTCATTAGCTTGGGATATTTCACATATTCTATTAATGTTATTATTAAGATCTTCTATAGCTCTTTCAATTCTTTCATTTTAACTTGGGACGTTTCACATATTTTATTAATGTCATTGGTCCCAGCATCATCTACATCAGTCCCACCACCATTGTTCATATAAGTTTCGGCACCATCGTTTATTAGTAGCTTTTGTCGAAAAATAATCAGCTCGTTCACCATTACTAAGCTTCTCGCTAGTTTCTTAGGGTTTGGAGATTGTACCCATCAAGAAAATCTCTACTCGGGTATTATTAAATTATCCGGTTATCCGGGTAATTTATTATAACCATATAATAAAATGTCTACCCGGATACAATCTCTAATATAGTTACAGATACAAAGATATCAATTGAATCATCTGTTTAGGTTAAAATAGCCTTTTTTTCTATTGAGAATTCTGGCAACTTATCATTTTGTTGACAATCATCTTGTTTACATTTCTTTCTATTGATTGCGTCAATTAGTCTAGTATCATTTATAGTTATAGCTTTTGTCTGATTTTAAATTAATGGTCATTTATATAAAAGATCATTGCTAGATTGTTTACGTTTCATGTTATCAGAAATAGATTGATCAGCAATATCAATATTTGAGGTATTAATTAACTTAACGTTATTGATATTGGCTTGAGAATTAGGACGTGTTGATCATGTTTGATGTCTCTTAGTTGATTGTTTATCAATAATATTTAATATCTATACTCGATTTGTCAGATTTAATATTTGAATTAACCAAAGATCTTGTTATTGATAGGTGATTTGTACTTCCATTTGGAACCTTCAATCCAATATCGTTATTATCTCGAATTTCTTTAGTATTAAGAAGAGGTGCAGCAGATGTCCTTCAAAAATTCGTATCCGAACCAATTTTATGTTAGATTCCGTTGCACAATTCCAGGATCAATTTTGCCGTAGAACCGATTTTGGCCGTGACACTATTTTAGTTATTAGAGGATGCTCTGAATGATCAATTTCAGATGTCTGGCATAGGGATGGGTTCGACTACGAACGGCTACGATTGTTCATAGCCAATTTTCTAAATACTGAGATGATTTTTTGTTCTTGAGATTTTAATTGAAGTTGTTCAGAATTAAATTCTGGTCATCCCATATTATAAGTAGAAAGAACGATACTTTCTCTGGAACTTGGAATTTTAAGATTTATAACGTCATAGCCGGCTACTAGCCGCCGGCTTATAGTCGGCTATGAGGTTAACAAATCTTAAAATTCCGAGTTCCAGAGAAGGTATTGTTCTTTCTACTTATAATATGGGATGACCAAAATTTAATTCTGAACAACTTTAATTAAAAGCTCAAGAACAAAAAATCATCTCAGTATTTAGCAAATTGGCTATGAACAATCGTAGCCGTTCGTAGTCGAACCCATCTCTAGTCTGGCACTATCATTTACAATAGTTCTAATACTATTGTTTACATCAATTCCATCATTTGCGTTGCTTATATCAATAGAATTATTTTTAATATTCAATGTTTTTTTTATGCCATTTTCTTGTAATTTGGGACAGACTATCTTCCAATTTTGAAAGAAGTGAAAGAATACTCTTCCATCTCTGAATAATAACAAGATTATAAGTCGTACAATTAAATTATAAAATTTTACAAATCGCATAATTAAATTGTAAGGATTTTGCAAATCACATATAATTGAAATACATAAAAGCTTGCTTACTAATTTACTTTGTAAACAATATCGTTCTAATACTCTTCCAAGAGTTTCTTACGTCCAGATCATTGTTTTTTAACCTATTGTTACCAGTAAACAAAAGTTAATAATTTTTTGATAATAAATGAAGGCGCCTATTTTCTTTTTCGAAGTCAGTAGACTTTCATTGGCAACAAAGAGAGTGCGCCTAAACAGAAGACTCTGGAGATACTCTTACCCAGTAATTCTTCTCGGCAGAATGCATCTTACTAGAAGTTGCCCTCTCTTACACAAACAAACAAAAATCCACAACTGATTCTTTTGTAAAACATGATTATTTGTCACACGACATCAGTAAAGGGGGTGGAGTCAATAGAAAAGGGACAAATCGTTTTTAGTAAATTTTTTACAACTATTTAATCAAATTTGCTAAAATTTTTTTTATTTTAATTTTGGAATTATATAGAATTAAAATAAAATAAAAATTATTAAATTTGATAAGATAATTGCTAAGATAGTTAAGCTTAAAGTCAAGAAAACTTTTACTTAGAAAAAATTTGTCCCTTTTTTATTGATTCCACCCCAAATCATAGTGGGTAGCAGTAGGCCTTTTTCAAGCACCGGTCAAAATTGTCGATCATTTGGCCAAATTTAAATTATTTTACTCAAGTTCTGGTCAAATTATCACCAATTTTGACCGGATACATTACAAAAAAAAAAATCTCGAAATTTTAAAAAATATTTACCGTACCGTACTACCTTTAATACCCGGGTCTTATCAGAAAAAAAGGGTGTGGGTACTTAACCAAGAGTGGGTACACAAGCTGAAGAATATTGATCTTTATATTTCTTTTAATAAATAACCAATTTTTAATTCGTTAAACTAATTCGTCGAAGCTAATAACCATAAGTAATCTGTCAAGAAAAAAAATATGAAAACGCATCTTATATTGAAATAATAAAACTAAATAAAAGATAATAAGTATTAGCAATCTTAAATAGCGTAAAAAATTTTCACCAATTGATCTACGTAATGTAAAATGTAAACCAGTTTTTCTTGGATTTCTTCGTTACATTTATCCTTTAAACCGTAAACTTTTACAAGCAAATTTGCCTGCAAAAATTTATGCAATAATTGCACATCTAATCAAGTCATGGGTGTGCCGTTTCGAATTTGTCGGATATCGGAATTTAAAATAAGAATTTTTTTAATAGTTTCATCCGACAAGTATAAATGGCACATCCGATAGCTGTTCATGATTTGACTAGACATGACTTTTGCAGGGGATATTGCACCAGATTAAAGAGAAAATAAAGACAAGTTGCCATTAAAAATAGTTGAAAGTAATATCAGCTGAAAGCTCTATGCGAGTAATATGTCCAGTATTAATATTACTGAGGTCGACATAATGATTTGCGTAAGCTGTACTGGCAAAAACAATTTTGATCAAAAATTTGCAGGCAATTTGCCTACAAAACGGTTAAAAGGATAATGCACCAGCCCTTCACACATGCATTTTAGCGAAAGCTCTTACTCTGACGCACCTAATCATTTTTTGAGCCGAGAAATTGCTAACTTGATAAGAATCAGACGAAAGTAGTCAAATAATTGCACACATTCAAGGGCGTGGTAATTTATAAAAATTTAATTTTAGAAAGGGCATAATACCTAGTGGATCATATATTGATATCTTAATAGCTTCAACAAGCGGTTTAGTTTGCCATGTTATTGTTATTTGAAATAATATAAATGTTTTTTACCTTATAAACCATCGTTGGCGGCTTTGTCATCGGACTATTTTTTATTGGTTCGTAGAAATAATTCAAATTTATACTATTGCTATGCGAAAGAATCGTTAATTCATAATATATCTTTATTTTGTAATGACTAATATAGTTTCTACGATTTTAGAAGAAGGATACCATTTTTAAACTTAACATATATAAATTGCTCGCTTTTATTATACTGTTGTTATATACACTGGCTTCAATTCTGTATCAGTGTCCAGACCTGTGATTGTAATCTTTAAATTGTAAACTTTGAATTTCCGTGGTGTCGAGTTTAATACTTGTGACCATCTTTTCAGGATTTAATATAATTTGGTTTTACGAACTATTACATTCGAACCAAGTAAAAAATTTATTTCTGAAAGCTCTCTATTTATCTTCGATCTAGCAATGATAATGACACAAGTGACAAGGGAATTTTTAAAATTTTGTTATCGCTGACCTTGAAGCTAAAGTTGAGAGTGTGCCAACTTTCTCATGGAACCCTATTATTCAAAAGAGAGTCGTGTATAGATTTTCCTGAAAAATTTTTGAAATTTTGGGCTCCCACATGAGTCTTTGATTAGATTCATCGTCAGTAATGAATGCTATCTTAACAATAATCTTCATATTTGTAAGTCGAGGATTTTCGAAAATAATCAGCACAACAGTTGGAATAAGTTTATCGAATCCTCCAAAAGAAAATTGTAGGTTTGAAAATTCTATTGAAATTGGATAAATAAATGCACTTTTGACGTCAAATAAGTTATCGTTTGAGATTCACCATTCAACAATAGAACGCGAATCAACAGTAAGTATAGAATGGAATCGGTGAATAATTATTCGAGCATCTTCATTCATCGATTTTTTAATTCGGTCAATCATCGAACTTCGGTCAAAATTAAAATTTAATTGTTTTGACAGTGATAAATTTTTTGCTTGATTTCGAAGCAGATCCTGTGATGTTTGTCCTTTACAAAATTGAAACGGCACCAAGTAAACGCTTATATTCAGACGCGAGAAATGTTATAAGTGCGAAAAAAAATCCAAAGTGATAATTTTAAAACAATATATATTTATTTATTTAAATATGATCTTTTTCTTTTTAACCAATAAAAAATTCAAGAGTCTTTTCTAAAACCGAAAGTAACTTAGCTTAAATTAGTTTACAAATAGAGAATTCGAGATGTATGTCTCGTCAAATAGCTCTATATCACATGGGCAGTGTAGAAATAATTGATTCTATCTTAGTTTTTTAATATTCATGTAATATTGCCTTTATAATTCCTATTGACATATCAAAATAAAAAATTTGTATACTTGAAATTATAATAATCTAAATTTAAAAACCATTATTCTTTTTCTGAGTAACATTTCAAATTTGACATGCAGCGGATTTAATATAAAGGTCACTGCTGCATTTCACAGCATTCTTAAATTGTCTGTATGAACTTCACAAGTCAAAGGAAATCCGGTTTAAAACTTTAATATAGTTGTATCGTAACGAGTCGATTACATAATTTGAACACTAAACCAAATCGAGTGTTATTTTAGCCTAAGAATCACAGGATATCATTTAAACGAACGTGATCAGGGTACGCCTTTATTTTCCCACCGTGATACAAATCCAAAAAGGAATTTTTATATAACGTGTAGATCACAAGATCAGGTGTAACATGAAATTTACCGGTGTTCAGGGACCCGGAAAATTTTGGATAAAATTTGGATAAAAAATTCGAATATTTGGAATTA